TGTAAATCCTAAATTTGCGAAAAAGGAAGATTGTAGCCTCCAAGTGGTCGCGATAGAACACTGTCTAATTAGAGAATTTCGTATGAATTGTAATTCACTCATGGTTAATGACTATGATTGTTTTTTCTTCTAGAAGACAAGCACAGTTCAATGAGCATTTCCAACGTTACGCTTAAAATTAACCCTGGCCTTTTTGTGTTTCTATAAGGTCCAAGAGGTGGCCAGGTTTCAGGGCAAACAACTCAAGGATTTGTTTGCTGGATTCAAGCAACCGATTTGTAAATTTGTGGTAGATGCAATGGATGAAATACAAAGCTTGAATCCCTCTTCTAAAGTTTCTTTGGATGTTGTCTCAGAAGTTGCCAGTGTGTTTGAGTTTAGGGATGTCCATTCATTTCTAAAGGTAATACAAACATCTCACGCTCGAGCGCTCTTCGATCGAGTGTTGTAAAACCAAAACAAGAGTTATCGCAACGACCAATCAATAAGGGAAAATACCCCTAAGAACCAATGAGAATTCAAATTAAAACCATGCAAACTGCCCAAAGCGCGGGAAAATGCGGGCGACCAAGGCGCGATTGGTTTTCGTTTGCATCTGATTGGTTAAGAGAGTGGCGCAAGTTTTCTGGACCAATCATAGAGCGGAGTAAATTAAAACCCACTCAATCCTGGATTACTTTTGACACTTAGTTGAAAATTTCTCTATCACGAGCAAGTGCAAGAATTGTGGTTTTCTTTTTCTTTTCTTTTTTTTGTCCAACCTTCATTATTTGGGATCCATTCTCCATTGTTTACGAGGCTTAGTAAATATTCTCTTATTTATTATTGTTCTTTACACTTAAAATGATTCACTGAGTTATGCACACATTTTGATTGGTTCTTCCCTATAATCTATTGGAGGACAGACACATAGATGACGTCACCTTAACCTTTTACATCCTAACATCAGTATGCATATTCTCCATACTTTTCTCAATACATTTCATAAGGTGCTGACAAGGAGAATTTGTTTAAAAATCAAGAGCTTCTTTGGCTGGTGACCGTTTTCTGTATTCTCATGACCTTAATGTGGGATTCAGGGGCGATATTGTAAGGAGAAATTAGATGCTAGTCACTCTCAGCGGTCAAAGAGTTAAATAAAATATATTGCTTCTTTATTGTATAAAACAACTAGATTCTATGTTGCTGTGGGTTTGTTCTATAATAGATGGCAGAAAACGTCAAATTATGGCAAGAACATCAGCGACTCACTCAGCTGCGCCTCATGTGCAACTTTTCTGTCCTTACCATGTTTTTACGTTGTCTGTGATTTATTACAGAACGGACGCATGGCAACATGGAATCGATTTATTCAATACTGCATTTCTAAATTTCTCTGTCCTACAGAATACACTGCGTTTTGTAATCCCCTACTTGGTCAAGAAAGCATCGCCTTCCTCATCGGCAATCTTAAGACATATTGCTAAAGAGCTGAAGATGAATAGAAGGGAGATGCTGTTGGAGAATTTCAAGTTTATTTTTTCTTTCCTTGTGAGAACATGTTCAGCATCTGAGCTAGAGAAGGCTCTGGGTTATGTACAGGTAAGTCAGTGTAGTATACATTTGGGACCTACAACTGGGTGCAAGCAAACAAATTTTTTGTTAAAGCTTGGAACAAAATGACGAATCAATAGGATATTCGTACTAAATGAGCTTTATGTCCGTCAGGTCTCGAGTTTCCTTTTCCTAACTTTATAGTTGATGTCAGGAGATTTAAAAAAAGAGGCCTAAAAGAGGCCTAACAAGGGCACTAAGTAGCACTCTCACTACACTTTAGGATTGTCATTAGATCATGATAGGCTAATACCAATAGCCCATCGCTACGTCAGTCATAGTCACAAATCGTGGGGTCGGTTACTTGCTACACACTGATTTTAGAGGTAGGGAAGGTGTTTTTGGGAGTACCGATTTGAATGGGTTCAGAAACGACAAATCTACGGAACTGCTCAACCAAATATTATTATCCATTAAAAGGTGGGAGGTTTTATCAGAGCTCATTGACTCCCCGATCGACCTATAAACTTCTTGCAACTGGGAGCTCATATCAGAGCAGCGCCATCTTTATGTCGTTGTTTCCAAAACCTGTGGAGTTGAACTCTGTTTCTTAAGTCTGCAGAACAGGACAGGAAAGTTTTTCGATGTATCACTTTGCAGAAGGTACTTATCTCTCCTCTTTTCTGTGGTAGATTCCTCTTTGTGTGTGCGGATATTACGTTGTTACTTTCCATTGCAAACTACATTAAAATCTTATGTGGTATTACTCCGCAAAGAGATAGCATTAGGACCGGGTTCTGTGAATATATCTTCTTCCCTACTCTCTTGAAATTTCTGGGCTATTGCAGCTAGAAAGTTGTACTCAATATGAAATCCTCTAAAGAAATCATAACTTTCTCTCACCCTTCAGGGTGTCCTCTGAATTTCATTTGCCTTTGTATACAAATCAAGACCAATGGTAAGGTATTTTTCGAGTGAACAGCTTTTTTTTTGCTATATTTTACAAAATCTTGATTTTACTTGGTTTCCATTGCAACCTTTGCCATAGTAACGGTCAACCAACCAAAGTTATATCACCTTCCCAAATTTTATTTAATTTGGTTGAGTAGTTCCGTATGTATTGCTGAAAAGTTATTGAAAACTTAACTATTAACCACCCCTAATAGCAGGTCGCTGACCCACAATTTGTATCTACAACGAACGTAACGATGATCTCTCGGTATAGGGCTATGATAATCTGAGGTCAGACCTTTTGTCTTTTGGAGCTTCTACGAGGTCGACTTTTTGCTGGCTTTTCCTTGACTATTACATGTAGTTCACCTCTTAAGATTTCTATGAAGCTTTCCATATCTTTTTTCGTAGGATATGTTTTGTTATGCGTTGTTTATTTCAGAAAGAGACAGATGTAGAGCTTGGTAGCCTATTGAGATCGGAGGCCCAGAGTGTTTATAATCAGCTTTTACTGTATCTAAGTGTTAGCTACAGCAAGGTGTTTAGTGGATTGGCAATGCTGGCCTCGAAGGATGACACTTACTCTGGGCCAAAGGACCTTAAAACTGATCAACATCTGGTAGGGGCTTTACTATCTAAGTGTTGTTGAAGCCAAACCACAATTCATCGTTTATATAAAATAATGCTAAGATAAAGTCAGGCTACGATCTTCAAACGGCAAAAGTTTAAGACCACTCTTGCTTTTTTTGCTATTAGCAACAAGAACTTCTTCAATCTCCTCTCTTCCCCATACCAACAGGGAAATTAAGGAAAATATTACGGCGGCGGCAAACAAAAGATCTAATGGTCAGAACAGTAGCTCAGCACGTGCGTTTTAAACTGTGTACATTTTTAGCTGTCCAATGCAAAACAACAGCGTGAAATCACCAAAATTTGCGTGGTCTGAAAACAGAAACCCCGAAGATAAAAGATAACTTATTTAATTTTCCATTTGGATCTCAACGCTTGCTGTTCACATGCATTTTACTAATGTTGAGATGTGCCGTAAGAAACAGCCATTCGCGTAGTTCTAACTAAAGTATAAATTCATTTTTTATGTGACGTCTTCCTCGCCGTTGCCAACTTGATTGCCCAAGGTCCCTAACCTGGCTTAAAGGAAATTCCAATAGAGTATACTGGGATTTTATTATTTATCTGTACGTCGCAGTATGATTAGTCCAGAAACTTGCGACTCTCTTTCGACCAAGTAAATGTTAGACTTAAACTATTCGTGACCTGGTCACCCGTGTTTTTCCGACCTTCAAACAAATTACTTTTACATACTCGGTGGGCATGTTCGAAAACTTAGACGGTAGACGGTAGACGATAGACGATAGACGACAGACGTAGACTGTAGACGATAGACGATGGATTGTGTGACAGAACATGAACACGAAATTCAAAATTGTCACCTAATCTCTTAGCTCCTCTTCCTTGTCCTGTTTTTCTTCGCTCTCATCTAGATGTTCAGAAAGGTGCTCTCGCAATCAGAAGAAAAATAAAAGAAAAATTTTATTTTCCTCATTTTCCCATAACAATATTTGACCGTATTCTGAATCTTGACGTTTTAACCAAAATCAATAGTTTGTGTGCAGAATAATACCTACATTTTCTTCCTCCAGGCTAATTTTCTGCAATCCAGACTGCTGGGTATCCTGGCCTTCTACAACACTGTACTTCTAACAAACACTGATCTGGAAGAGAAGAGGTTAGCTCTACAGAGTCTCACCAAACTGATGCAAGTGATGGGGCGGAAGTACATCACTTACGTACGAGTGAAAGTCATGGGTATCCTGCGGTTGTGTCTGAGATTCCAGGATGAAGGGTTTCCTGAGCTATCGTGTGATGCATGGGAGAACTTTGTGCGGAATGTTGAACTCTCAAATCTTGGTCCCATGCTGAGCCAGATCATTGTGACCCTTTTACCATATCTGAACAAGCTTCCAGCAAGAGTCACACAGATTTTCCACTTTCTGATTGTTGAGAACAAAGCTGCTCTACAAGGTTATTTTCATGAGATCTATTTTCTTCCCGATATTCCTGAACTACGCCGAGTCAGTGCAGTGCTGAGGACGTGTAGTGGGAATGCTGCCAAAAAAATGGACCTGCGAGCTCAGTTGAGACAATCCCTGAAAGGAATATCTCATGAAAGTGTTGACGTGCAAAGGCATGCATTGTCAAAACTCAAACAGCTGCTTCATGATAACCAGGTAAATTTTGCTTTTCAGGCTTTTCCCATCCAGATCGTCGCATCTAAAGCCTTCAATATTGATCTTACACCGCTAAACAAACCCTCAGTTGCTCATCCTATCGGCTCTCTTTCTTAAACTTCTGAGCAACCCGTGGAACCTGTGGAACCCGTGGAACCCGTGGAACCCGTGGAACCCGTGAAATACGTTTTTTTTTAATTAATTGCAGAAAAATTTTTGATCAATATCAGTATCTAAGCAATTGGGCACCTACTCCACCCCTAACCCAACAACAGTCTACTGATAACAATTAGGGTTGATGGTGGGTCAGGGGAGGGGTAGGTGCGTAGTTGCTCGGACATTGACATTGACCGAAAAAGTTCAACCTTTTTTTTTTTTATCTACTGCTCAGTGTTCATATATGAATTTGTCTATGGTGTTCTTTACCTTTTTCCAGGCCACCTTACATGGTTATGTCCTTAGTAATGAAACCGTCGATCCCATCATCCCGCAGCTTATTAGTGTGGTAAGAAACGATAGCTTGTTGACATTCCCTACAACTCCTGTTTGTAGTTTTAACCAGATATAAAAAAAATGACTAACATCGAGTATGACAGGAGTTTTGTTTTTTTTAAATTACCATGGTATAACTGTTGATTTGGACATTTTTCAAAATGCCCAGTTTTATCCAAGTGAGTCTGAAGTATTTTTCTCAAAGATGCGACTTTTAACTGTACCACCGGTCTTGATTTTTATTCATAATCAGGCGACCAAATACACCATGAATCATAGAATTATGGGTTAGTTCTTAATTATCTGAGCTCAAATGATGTGTGTAATTTGCACCATTAATTCCCATGGCGGACCAAGAAATAATTCCTCCTAACAAAATCAATACAATAACAAACAGACAAGTGATGGGAATATAGAAAATTATCAGTTGGGGAAGAGTTATCCGAACTAATATCAGAAGAATTGTATGGCTGACAGTAAGTAAAATTACTAATGAGATCTTGAGAGTAAAAGGATTAAATTTGATGTAGAAACTGAATATCAGCTTGTATGACAAAGAAATTTTGATTATTAACAGCTCATGTCCAGTTGCCGTGTGACTGATGCTGAAGTGAAAATTCTTGTCGCTGAATGTCTCGGTGAGCTGGGGGCTGTCGATCCTGGCAGGTTAGTTTACATTTGATCTTGTTCATGTGTCTTTCTTCCCAAGCTAGTTACATTACTTCATACGTATGTGCTTAGATCTGCCACAGAACAGCACGCCCCAGTTGTTCCAAGATTGGATAATGTTTTCCAACGGATAAATTGCTAACCAATGGATACGTGTTAACAACATGTTCTGTGCTATCCATCGGATAAAGATAACGTTATCCACTTTTCGAACAACCAGGGTGGTTACTAAACCAGAATTGATTAGTTTTAGTGTATGTGGTGGTTTTAATGGTGTGGCATGATGTGAAAAAGAATCCCTTAAATAGACACACACCTCGCTATCATTAAGACGGTGTTCTTATGTGTGCATTCTGTGGGAACTCTACTCACCGAAAATCCCAAGATCAAGCTTTGTAACCTTCACCATTCTTGTTTCGTCTAATTTATCGCTGGTTTTCAGTTTATTAAAATAGTACTTTAAGCATTGATATTAAAAGATAGCAATTGCTTTCCTATGTCAAACTGATAAACGACAAAGTGCTTGTTTTTTACGCCATGATTAAGATGATTAAGTTAATGTATTTCGTTGTTAGACTGGATAAGCTCACACACGATCCTGTGGATGAACAAACAGTTTTTGAGGTAATAGACATTTGCTGTATGCCCGTTTGTAGAAAGTGCTCCTCAAGTACTCAGAGACACACATTGCATGATTATTGTATTATGGAATTATTGTATTGTGGTCAGGAGCGGTGGCTCTGTTTGAAAGGTAATGTTTCCTCAGTCAGTGACACGAGCTTTAGTGCTAAATTTACCAACGAATTAACGAATTATACTCAGCCGAATTAAAATATGGAAATAATTGTTGATCGGCGGAAGCTGGAACAGCTTGGCTTAGCGGTGATGAATTTAGCGTTACGACCCAAACGCCGTGGGAGGGAGAAGGGAGGACTTTTCTTTTCTCTGCGTTCCTCTGGAAAAACTGAGTGGGAATGAAGTGAACGAATTTTCTTGGTATTATATTGAGCTCTAACGTAAGCAGTGCGAGGAATGATCACCAAGCCGATAAAACTTAGTTGTTATTGCGTAATTTAACTTTGCATATCGTTATGAGCGTTGAGAATAGTGACAGAATTTAAAGTTAAAGCTTTGTTTTCTTAGAAATGATACTTTTGATTATTACCGCCTCAGGTATACTTGGACAGAGGCATACTCAGAATAAAATACCTCTGTTTAGCTAGTTCCTTTAGTATTTATGTAAAATTGATTTTTTTCTATCACTAAATCTGTTTACAGAGTGGTTGTGATGATAAGGAGTTTGCCGTTGAGCTTATTAATAAGCTGGTACAGGCCTTCTTAGCAGCTCATGATACAAGAGCACAGGTAAGAGGAGGCCACAGGAATTACCAAGAACAATTTATGATTGCGTTGCTTTTTCTTCACTTTTTCCAGCGATTAGTTAAGACCACCTGGGTCATCTTTTTTACTACAGCAATTTTCAATTGAGTGTCGAAAATAATCCGGAATTGCTTTGATTTTGCTTTACTTCGCTCTTTCAGTGGTCTAGAAAACCTTCCTGCCACGAATCAGATGCAAAACGATCATGGCTTGGCCGTCCGCGTTTTCCCGCGCTTTAGGCAGTTTGGTTGTTCCTTATCGGCTAAAGTAATCGCATGATTAATTTTATGTCCTCAGTCCTGAGAGAAACTATAAGCGTTTCCACTGTTTTTTGTGATGTTCTTGTATTTACACTTTAATCAGAAATTCGTCTGGTTGTTTTAATGCACGTGCGTTGTGCATTTTTGTTACCAGGACTGCTCTGCCTATGCTATTCAAGAAGTTCTGTTAACGTATGGCTGTAGTGAATCAAAGAAGGACGGGTGAGTGTTAAATTTTACATAGCCCACCCTTCGGTATCGTTCTTTAACAATCGCTTTCAGCCCAAACGACAAGACTTTAATAAGGTACAGGTAAATGTTGGTTATCTGAATTGGTCTAAATTTTTTCAGTGAAAAACGAAAATAATCCGAGATCGCATTTGTTTCGCTCTCCTTTCGTCAGTGACAGGTTCAACCCCTAGATCCCCAAGAGCCGTTGACTTCTTTTTTCTCCTAACAGTATCACTCCTGAATTAAACATCAAGGTCACGAAGATAATAGAAATGATCACCAACTAAAGACACTCTCGATTGTCACGTGAATTCTCCTTGTCAGCTCCTTAAGAAAATGCATAGAGAACAGTATGGACAATATGCTTTTTGATGTTAGTTTGTAAAAGTAAAACTCATGATGACTTGATCTGTCGCGTTTACTCCCGCTACAGACAGCTTTCCTTTTTAATGCTTTTTATTCATACTTACCTTGGCTGGCCCATCCTTGTGGTATTCTACTATTTTCTTACAGTTCATGTTTTGGTTTTTTGCGGCACTAGATTAATCCGGAATTGAATGTAGAAATGATAACACGATTTTTCCTTGGTTAGCAAGTTGTAATTAAATTGCTTTAGGTCTCTAAGGAAACGTATCAGGTTTTCATAAACCTTTTTACTCCACATAGGGCTGGCTATGACCTGTGGCAGAAATTTCCAGAGCATATCCAAGAAGTTCTTCGGCCTCATTTATATTCAAAGTAAGTAACATTTTTATTTGAAGAAAGGACCATCCTCTTTCACTTTTTTTTAAAAATTTGTTTTTGCCTTAAGCAGTTATAAATGTCAAAAACCGTTAGTATGATTAAGATAATAAATTGTAAATACATTGTACTGTAGATATTAAAAAACAATCAGATCGTCAGACGTAAATTTATATCTTTGGGTCATATTTGTGAACAAGTGGCAATTCGATTCATAGCTCTGTAAACTGTCATCTCCTATCCTCTCTGAATTAAGTTCTTGTTCCAATAACAGATACCTTAGCTCCAGCACTCCCAATTGGTCTGGTCTCCCCAAACCGATCTACAGAAGCACTAAGGGCAGGGTTTATAATGAGTGGGTCAGCACATGGACATCATATATGATCACCAAGGTATGCTTTTAACAGATGCCGACTTTAAAGGTATATCTGTTGGTTTAAACCAAATTGGGATGGGAGACAAATTGAATTGTTCGTCATTTACTCTGTTTGTTTTGATTCATTTGTTGGTCTTTTTTTAGGTCAAAGGCCAGAAACCATCCCATACATTCCAGGCTTGCAGTAAAATTTTTAAGGTAGACCCTGTTCGAGTAGAAAATTATACCGGTCTGTTTTCCAAACATGGAAAATTTTTAATTTGAAAGCGATCTTCGCAGTAATGAACACTACTTAAGCAGTAGTAAAATAAGGCCAGAAAAAAGTTCAGGCCTGTACGGGATTTGAACCCAAAACCTCTGCAAAACCGGTGTAGTGCTTCCACCAGTTGAGCTAACAAGGCGTATGATTTCATATGTGTAAAGTTATTTATGGAAATTTCTGTTAACTTGTTATATTTTTGTCAGATGATAGAAAGTATGTGAAAATCTGTTAATCCTTTGCACCCATTGTTTTTGCAGCACGACGTTAAGACCGCGTTATTCTTGCTTCCCCACGTGCTGCTGTATGTTCTGTTGGATGGCACAAAAGAGGACGTCGAAGAGGTGAGTAGGAGGATGCACAATCAGCTATTAGAAGTCGGATCGGGGAAAAAAAGATAAAGAGAAGTTCAGCGAAACAATTTCTTGTTCGCAAAAGTATCTAACGTAGAGAAAAAAAACTGATGAAAGCGCAACTTGTCCCTAAGAGCTAAGAAAGTCTCTCTTCACTTGTAAACAGAAAAGCAAAAAACACAAGAGCCTCTTTCAAGCTCGGTTTTACTTACGTCATTTCATAACCAGGTTTACGGAGAGATCATGGCAGTTCTCACTCATCTGCAAAGAAACGAAGAGCTTCCTGCCCCATCCTCAGGTAAGTCTGCCTGAAAGAGCGCAATGCTCTTTTTGTGAAGCTTTGTTTTAAAGAATAGAATACCTAATAGTTAGCGCGCTGGAAGCTAGATGTAACGGTGCAGGTATGTGCATGTATGTGCCAAAGATGGCTTGTGTATAAAGTCCTTGAGAAAGGCACCTTTCTCTCACAGTTCTTCTCTCCACGCGGGATCTACCAATTTTATTTTCTTTTTTCTTTTTATGGCGGAGAATTCTACTAGGGAGGTAGAGGGCGGAGGGGGGGGGGGGGGGGGGGGGGGGGGGGGGGGGGTGCAGTACTCTGAACTTTAGAAACCAGATTTTACTCCGACAGCTATGTATATCTGGCTCTATTAGAGTCTTTGTGTGTTTGAAGATTTCCGCCAGATGAGTGCTCAGACAATATTTTCCGCCTTGGATTATTTGAACCGTTGGGCAAGAGCAAAGGCTTACAGATTGGTCTTAAAGAAACAGTTGGTGACTTCCAAACATCGAAACAGTCCGTCAGTCTCAGGTACCTATATATCTTTAGCTTTCTTTTGTAGAATATGTGTCTTCGAAGAGAAGGAGCAATTCTCAAAAGAGAGAGATTTCATAAGTTTTCTTTAAGTTTCTCTCTGATTGGTCGAGAAAACTTGTGTTCCTTCTCAACCAATCAGACGAGTGACAAGCTTCTAATTTCTCCTTACATTATCACCCTTAAATCAAATGTAAAGGTCACGAGAAGAAAGGAAATAGTCGCCAATTTAAGAAGCTCCTGATTGTCAAACAAATTCTTCTCGTTAGTTCTGAGAACAGTGTGGAGAATGGAAATTCTAATTTTAGGTGGAGGGGCTTAACAGTGCTTGATTGTATATATTAATACTGTTAATCATAAAAACTACAATTTCCTCGATTGTGATTAGTTTAAAAATCCCGTATTTTCCACTAATTTACTTGCCAAGTTGTTATCGAACAGTTTGTTACAGGACAGTTTGTTATGGAACAGTTTATTGTCAGACAGTTCAATAAGCCAAACACATGCAAAGTTGAAATTAAATCAACCAATCACATTCAAAGTTATAGTTTAAATCAGTTGTAGTTTAAGTCATTTAATGCAAAATTTCCCTTTCTTTCATAACTTGGCTATTCTTCTCGGAAATTGTAATTTTTATGATTACTTGGTGTCGTCTTATTCGGTCTGTAATCAAACTCGTGATCAACAAATGTTATCACTCGTACCATTACAGACCGCATTGGACTACACTCAGTCCTACTACCATTACAAAGTATGTGTTTCATGTATGAAGGAACCTTGATCAGCCTAAAATGTACTTCCATCGTAATGCTTTCATATCTTACGTTATCGCTCGGGTGAGGATATTCCCGAAGAAAAATGTCGTAACTGTCAAAGAGTTATATTTTCGGAAACTGAGCGGAAGTTTTCACCACACTTCGTCCCGATTTGACTTTTAATCAAGGAATCAAATCGTCAGTAAGTGTTACCGACAACAGCTCTATGACCGCTCCTACTTGAAAGTTGACATTACACATTCCGTCATGTCTTTCTCACTCCCGGGTTCACGGGAGGCTAAATAGTGTGGATAAAAGAATATGTAAAGTAAATACAGCCGAAAAACTGTTAATCGTAATAGTTCAACATGCCTATTATTTTATGCATTTCAAGGTATCCAAGATGAGCAAAAAGCCGTGGAAAAGTTCCTGGAAAAAATTCCCCAGGTAAATCAAAAAGTGGCTCACATCCTTTGAAGGATTTAACTTTCAATGGAGGCATTGGTATCACAATCAAAGAAACTTGAGAGTTTGTTTTGGATTATAAATTCACCACTTAATGATGCTGAAATTCGAAATTAGTTTGTGGGTGAAGTGAACACGTTCAAGATACAAATGCTTTATCCATGGATGGAATCTGTGGGAATTTACTTGATGCGGTTTGGTCGCCAGGATTGGGAGGAAAGCGAGTGAAATAAGAAAGGCTTTTTGATGTTTGTGTTTGCAGTAAAAGTAATTTGAAACCTTTATTGTGTTACAGGATGTGCTGGCCTACGCATCATTCCACTGCAAGGCATATGCCCGTGCCTTGATGCACTTTGAGGCATTCATCTCAAGTCAGAAGCAGGATGTCCACCGCCATTTAGGGTTTGTTCAGAAGCTTTACATAGTTTTGGACGAACCTGATGGAGTAGCTGGGGTTGCAGCCAGCAGGAAGCAGGAACCCACTCTCCATGAACAGATCCTCGATCAGAAAAGCTCAGGTAGGACCCAGTGAAGTATAGAAGGCTCCACAGCTTCACGCTTGTAAGAAGCTAAGATGAGGTCATACAAGGTCATTGTTCTTAACTTGACCAAGGCAGACTTTCTTCCTTCAAGATCAATGAACAACAAGCATAGAAGTGATGTTGAAGAGAAAAATGTCAATTTGTGGATTATTAATTGATTCAATACCAAATTCTCCAAACTGACATCATAAGAATTGTATGGTAGATACTGAAGATGTTTGTTTTGACGTTGGTTGTTGAATTCCATGACTGAATAAATCCATCTTACAAATGTTGGTTGAAAGTGCAAACCATTAAATAGAAACTTGCACAGCAAATTTGTACCAGTATCTAGATAGGCATTACCCTAAGGCGTTAATTTTACAAAGCGTTTTCTGGTCAGGTGCTGTTTTAGTCGGTAGAAAGTGAGTTTAACTTTGAAAAGGATGAATAAACATATATTTTTGTGTTTAGGCTAGCAACCTTTCCTTCTTAAAAACTGTAGGAAAACTTTGTGATGTTTCCGCCCGTTATGAGAGAGCAATTAAAAAACGTTGGTTTAAATTTGAAAAGGATTAATAAAAAGATAGTTTTATGTTTACACTAGCCTACTTTCTCATCTGAATGGTGTAGGGAAGTTGTGCGATGTTTCTGCTCGTTATGAGAGAGCAATTCAAGAAGAACCAGATGAGATTGGACATCACAAGGTGAGGATAGAGTTTGCTGAAGCTGGAATTAACAGTCTTTCATCTGTTTCAAAAACGAGTTCTGTTTCTGGGCAATTGCAAAGAATAGTTGACACCGTGATTTTCAAGTGAGGACAGTAAATTAATATTCATCATTCTAGGTAATTTTTAACTCTCAATTAACACTTTTAGAGTCGTTGCGAGTGTTAAATTACTAATCTTAGATACATGTTATCAAAGAGTCGCTGCAGTCCAGCTGTTGTAACATCGGATAGTGAAATCAGAGCTGGCTGAGGTTGGAAAAATCAAAGGGAACTTATTCTATACTTTGCCACACATTGGACCACATTTGTAGCAACTTTTCGCAAAGAGCAGTTTTGATTGTCATTTACACTATTCCTCATTCTTTTTCAAGGGCCTGTTACAGTGTTTTATTGATCTTGGTCAAGTGACGACTGCTCTCACTCATGTGGATGGAGTGGTTACTCGCAGGTTTGTTGAAGCAGTAACTCAGATGAAAGTCTGTGTTATGTGAACTGTGCATAAGCTGCATTTTATATTGCAAATTCATACTCCCACAGTGAGTAATCGCGCCTGATTTCTCACCGTGGACTCCACACATGGCAAAGGTATAACTCGAAGTTTCAAAGCTTTTGCAAGCCTGGTATTTTATTGGTCTCAGAGTTAATACTTTATTTATTCATTTACTTAATCATGGGCAATTCATGAACTATTTACAAAGAATTAAAAACTATTAATTATTATTGATTGTAAGAATACTATTAATTTCACTATATTACTGCTTTCCACGAATACCGTGCTTTAGAGAGCTTCGTTGATTTTGTCGTTTGAACGACACGATGGATTCCGCGCACCTAGCCTCGCGAGAAAGATTATTCCACGATGTGGCGCCACCATGACTAAAACTATTTTTGAAATAATTTGCGCGTGGTACATTAAGTCTGCGCTCGGATTACCTCAGGTTTTATCCGCTGTTAAGGTGTTTTGTCTTTATATAGTCTAAATACTTCCATAAAATGTATTCAGCCATTCATGACCTTCCAAGTGAAGCTACCCGACCTACTAATTTTTTTTCTTGTTATTTTTCTTACCACTCTCTTGTAAGCTGACCATGATGTGTTACTTTGTTTGTTTTTCTATGTTATTCGGTATCTAATGTTTTTTTAATTCGTTTATATTAGACCTGAATGGGAGAAGTCCCTGAATGCGTATCGTGTTGAGGCTTCTTGGAGACTAGGACAGTGGGACTCGCTTGAAAGTTATCTTAAACTGGTATTATTCTTACTAATACAGAATGGACCTCCTATGTACAGAACTTGTACAACAGTGATGTGCTTTTTAGGCCACTTTATTTTACTTTTGCATTCCTTTTTTTAATGCGATTATCTATGCAATTACTTAGCTTTTTTGTGGTTATTCTTTCATGGATTTTATAATTTTTACTTGTATTTAGGAACGAGGTGTTGGCGATTGGGATGTTGGATTAGGACGGATCCTGTTGGCTGCTAAAGAAAAGGTTTGAACTAAATTTTCGCGATGTGAATCTGTGAAGGAATAGTAATTGTGTTTTAGGTTTTGTGTCGACTATTACATCATTTATCAGCTTCTTCTTAAAAGGCGTTGGCCTCGTAGTTACTTTCCAGGAAGTTGTGGAATAAGCCCTCGACGTATCATGGTGTTGTGTTATTGGGAAGGGCTCTTTATTCGTACATTGGTAAGGGTATAAATGGGCACTAGTGATCTGTCAGCGAAATTGAACCAAGGAATTTTTATTGCTTTCAACAATCCAATATTCAAGTTATCTTGGGCGTAATGAGATATGTATTCAAAAGTGCCTCAATATTTGGAAAGATTTATTATCCTTTCTTTATTTATTGATATCTATATTATTTCTGTTGTCACCAGAATGAGAATGAATTTAGACGTCAACTAAAGGTAGTTCGCAGTCAACAGATGGGATTCTTGTCCGCGGCAAGTATGGAGTCTGGGTCCTATCAACGTGGTTATGAACACATTGTGAGGTATACAATGATAATTTACTCGAAATAAAATAAATAATATTTTGATCTGCGGACGGAATAGAAAAGAATTTAAACTGCTGTGAAAGAAATTGCAGATGAGAGGCCTGGAAAAATTAAGGCCTGAACGCCTCTCGAACCCATGCCTCGCAGATACTGGTCGAACACTACTTGGTCGAGCCACGAAGCTACATGTAGAATCTCCTCGAAGCACGAGTTTTCTTGGGTTGCTTGCCGACGGGTTTTGTTAACCGCAGCTCAAATGCAAAGATCAGTTCTGTACACTGAATAGCTGTGAATATTGTCAAAGCCTTCATCTTGGTCGGAGCTTCTAGGAAAACTCAGCGGAGATTTTTCAAGATCTTCCTTCTCCATCAATTTGTGTGTGCTATATTTTTCCGTTTCAAAAATGCTCCGATTTTGACAACAATGTTCACTTCTATTTCCTTCTCAACCGAACGGAACGCTAAGGCTGCACATGCTTCGCGAGGTGGAGGAAGCAGTGCAGCGGAATTTTCTTGTAGCAGCTGATGGAATCGATACCATAGGCGTGACAAATAGCTGGCAGTCACGTTTGCACATCTCACAGGTTTGTGACAGCAGTTTATCATTATAACAGTTTATAGAGGAGACTAATACTGGTGAATAGGACCGAGTCTCCACTCAGTCTCTAATCGCACATACGAGTGATTAACTTAATCAGACATCTACGAAGCGAGAGTCCAATTTGCTTATCAAGAATATGCTTACGGACAGAATTGGACGACACAAACCCCTGTTACTAAGAAATAAAAACTATGGTAGAAATACTCATCGATCAATCGTGTTCATCGAAAATAAAACATAGCAGCTGGCTTGTATGTTGTTTTCTTCTAATGAGAAAATGAACTTAATAGTCTCTCCAACTGCGGCCGTAAAGGTCCCGTACCGTCCAATTACATAGAGAGGTAAGGTAAAATGAAGTGCTCGGTCATTGGAAACACAAAAGGACAATATGGCAAGTTTGGACAACACATGCGTAAAAAGTATTTATAAAAACAAGAAAAGACGCGAGAATCTCGTTAAGTTTTCGCTATGGAAAATCTAGTATTTCTTGCAACGGTAAATTATGGAAATCTGTTAACTCTTTAAGGTTGTATGGTTCGTATGCAGTAGAATTATTGAAAGGTGATGTTATTCAGTGCATGACGCAGGCGTAATCGCAGAAAAAGAGCCCCTAGTGCTCCGAACAGGAGTCGAACCTACGACCTTCCAACTAGTAGTTCTTTTCACCGAGTATCCCTGTGACATTCAACGAATACATCATCGTTTACTGAAATCACATATTTACCATCCTCATTATGTCATCAGCAGAATTATTGTTCTCTTATTTTTTTGTTTTTACTCAGAGTACCTTAGAACTGCTTGTGATATTTTAGTTATGAACCTTTTTACATTTCTTTTTTCTCGTATACCAACTGAATGACCTATTGTAGACATCATTTCGCACGAGGGAACCAATCTTAAATTTGAGACGAGTTGTTTTAAAACTGTTACCAAGGTTAGTGTCTCCTTGAGTTAAGGGTTAAGTTTTCAAAGAAACCGTGGTGCTGCGTCAGTGGGGAGTAATCCCAGATAATTAGGGGATATCAATTGGGGTTGATAATATGAATTGGCCACGGTAAAGAGTCTCTTAAGCTTACGTTTGGAGCGTTAGCCCTTTGTCAGAGCAAATAGACGAATTGTGGGTTGTGTGCGTGCTTATATGCCGAACATGGAGCTTCGCTATTGGTGGGAACAATTTAGAGTTTTGCGGCTTTCCTAACTACCAGGCAGACGAAGTTCTAACGCTCGAAACCTCAGTTTCGGAAACTCTTTACGGCAGCAATTTTACATCATCAACTCAGTTGATAAAACCTAATTGTCCCCTTGAATAGGTTTATCAGCATATTGTTGTTAGCATTGGTTTTACTAGATGTCTTAACAAGGGAATAACGTAAACGAAACTTCCATGTAACATTAATGTTCTTTCCCCTTCCCACTGATTTTGTCTTTCTCTATAAGGTGTTTGCAGGAAACCAGTCTTATACATTTTGACTATAGATTAAGACTGCTTTTATCAGCTGAAATTATACACCGGCAGTTGAATATATCACACAGCAGATCCCAGAGGATGTGTGGACGATTACCAAGTAAAGGAGTGAAGTTTTTGAAATAATGTTTTGTGTTTTTAAATTGCCTTTAGTTCTGAAGAGTTACAGAAAGAACAAGGAAAAAGCTGGCTTCAAAGTGCAAAAGCAGCTAGGGTGTAAGTGTCGCTCCATTTTTCATTCAGTTGCAGTGTAGTTAGGGAGTATGCTGAAGAGCCTCTTCGTGTCATTTTTTTTTCTTTTAAAAAGACGGAATCTCTACTCTCGGGTTTGATTAAACTTCTACTAAACGACCACTCCCAGGTTATTATCCTTGTAATGAATGTATCGGTCGACAGTTACTTCGAAAAGTGGAATTTACTCTTTATCAATGTTTTCTTGTGAAGAAAAGTATGATAGACTTCAGCTTACAAATGATGAGGAAAATTTATTCTTTCCTTTAGAGCGGGTCACGTCCAAACTGCTGACAGTTCGCTTTTAAGTGCTAGTGCCTTCGCTTTGCCAAGTTTATGCTTAGAACGTGCGAAATGGATGGCCAGCCAGGTAGGAACAGCGAATCAGTCTCCTTATCAGTAAGATATTTACTTTGTGGATTGTATACTAGAAATGCAAGACTAAGGAGGGCTCGCTTTTGTTTCTTGATCACTTGAGAGTCTCGAAGCTCAACCTCTTCCATATGGCGGCCTAAAGTCAAATAGCATTTTAACCACATCGCCAGTCTTTCGGGTAAGCATTATGCCTGCCATTCGTTTTCGCTGATTCACGTGACTCAAGGCATATATAGAATTCGGGGAACCGAGTAGAAAGAGGCAATTTCTTATGGAAGAAACAAAGGAGATTGAGCAATAATTTTATTTAAATGTTTATCCCTCTTAGACTTCAGGCCATGAAAACTAACTTATGAAAACGTCGAAATTGAATAATGTACATGACCGCCGAACACAGATCACAAATTTGACGACTTATGCTAAAATCTCCGTCGCCAAAATTTTATAGTATCCCCTACGGCGACCAAAATAGCCGCTCTATGTACAAGAATCTTGAAATTATAAACTTTTGCATTCCGTCACATTTTTAGTCGTATTCGTTTTCAACAACATTCGATTACAAGAGGCGAGGGAAAAAAGGCAAGGGTCCTATCACTGCACAGTTCCATGTATAACATTACTAATCATATTTGGGTGTTATCTTTTTAACTAAAGAGTTGGGTATCCCTTTTATTTTGTCATAGGGTGATGTTCATAACGCTCTGATAAGTTTGCAACGGGCTGTCAGGTGAGCTCTGTAACATGTTGTCTTTATATTTGAAGAGAATTTTTCCCTGTTTCCGAATAGTTTTGTAAGTTTTATAGTCAGTTTTAGGATAGCCACTCTTGTATGCGCAGTAACTTTTGAAACACCTTGCTGGTACAAAAACGATGCAGAAGGATTCGGGCAGAATAAAAGCTATAAATCCAAAGTTTATGAAAACAATATTCTCCGTTCGCTTTCCTAACTTTGATTAATTTTTTTTAAAAAGTGGACTCAACACATTGAACGAAAGTTTAGAAAATTATGGAATAGAATTCACGGAATCACGATAAAACAGGATATTCCGTACTATGCCATGAGGCCTGGCAGATTTTTTCCTTTTCTATCATGATCAGGCGATTTCACTAGTCAGAAACATCCTTTCAAAATAAACATTATGGTTTTTGGTCTTATTTCTTAACAGTGAACAGTGGCCGCATGGCAGCAGTACAGTGTCAGATGGGGGACTGGACAGATTCATCCATGCAAAGGTTGGTAGCTTTGTGGACTTCGCCTCTCTGTTTTGCGCGCGTGTGCTTCATTCCTTAGTTAGAGCGAGATATTATTAAAAGTCTAGCGCTTGTCTCACCTCGTGGTTCCTAGAACGAGATAATCCTCTGGTGCCCTCTTCAATGGATAACGATGGAATCTTGTCGAGTGTAAGCTACGTGTACCAATGCTTTTAGCGTTTCATGGTGTTGTCAACTTTTTCGTTTACATTGTCTGACGAGTTCGTGACAAGTTAACTTAGCAACCTCACCTCATGCAAATTAGTTTACCTTAAGTTTAAACATCTCGGGGACGTTTTCGGGTTTTGGAAGCGAGGAAGCAAGAAAGTTTTGTTATTTAAACCTGACATTCGGAGACCTTTTGCAGTGAGTTATTGGGTTTTTGACTAAATCTCGTTAAACAAAAACCGGAATTATCATAGGAGCCGATGAGAAGGAAGAAAAATACACAAGAAGCCAATGGTAGCTTAAAGTTAACACAAACAAACTGTCTGACGTGCGGGAAAACGCGATCGACTAAGGCGCCATTCGTTTTGGTTTGAATCTGATTGGTTGGGAAAGTGGCGCGAGATTTCCGGTCCAAACAAACAAACAAACAAACAAACAAAAACTGAAAATCAGACTGGATAGAAAGTTTTAAGCTATGAAAAAGCAGACCACAACATTAACATTATTTTTTTCGTCCAGGCCTTGCTACTTATCGGCCGATGGATAGAGGAGACGGCTCATTATGCAGCTAATCGTGCCATTCAACAGTACAAGGTAATGTGATGCCTTTCACTTGGTTTTAATGAGTAACTTGCCTCGTCCCAACACTTACGACCATCTTTTCATAACAAAAAGATATAAGGCGACAGTTGAATCGATAGTGGGTTACTCATTTTCAGATTCAGTAGATGCATCCCGACCGCTATTCTACCGCTGTCTCCTCCTTTTTGTTGTTGTTTTGTGCGAGCCCTAAAGCTCTGGAAATTACTTTGATTGCAGTTTACCGATGTGTATATAATTGCCCTTACACAAATCACTTCTTCAATAAACCAGATTAAGACTTAATTTGAGCGTTAATTTTTTTTTGCTCATGTGCCTACATTGTGCACCCGTTTCTTTTTTTTTATAAAAACCCTGCAGTGGTCATTCTTACCGCTTTTATCGTAGGAAGTGACTGCACTTCATGGTAGCTGGGAAAATGGCCATTTCTATTTGGGAAAATACTATGACAAGCTGATGTCAGCTTGTCCGGAAGGAGAAGAAAAATCGAACAAAGTTTATGTGTAAGTACAAGTAATTTATGGTGCTATTGGTATCATAATTGTCTTCAGTTGTTTTATTCGCTTTGTTTTATAATTTATGTTCCCCGCACATACCATCAAGATCTCCTAGAGGAGAGATGTGGTGTAGTTACCATGGTGACTTCCTCGACGCTATGGAAATCGCTGTCCTCTCTTCTGCTACCTTAACAACATCTACCCTTCATTATTATTGCTCCGTTTAACAATTTGAATCTCTTAAATGCCTATTCTATGCGTGAATCATTATCTTTCCAGGGACTTCATTCCATTTGTTCTCAAACATTACGGACTGTCTCTTCAGTTTGGAAACAAATTTATCTATCAATCCATGCCTCGTCTCCTAACTATTTGGCTTAACTTTGGCGCTACAGTTTCTGATCAAGGTAAGGCGTCCTTATTTTAAAAATGAAAAAATCGATCAATTAATTAAAAAAAAAATTATGGATACAAATTATTATACAGCAGCGTGCGGGTTGGAGGGCAGCTTTTCACAATTGATTTTTCAATTTTTCTTTTTCATTAACTTCATGTAGATACAAGCTCACAGTAAACTTGACGATTTTTTGACAGAGAGGCGCTTCCTTTTTTTTGCGTAGAGGAGCACTCTCTATGGCTCAAGAGGTTTCAGCATCTTTATACATATACTGAATTTACATATACTGTATACATACACTGAATTTATATGATATCCACCCATACTCATGCTTGAATCCATGGTAGTGTACACGAGAAATGCACAATTGTTTCAAAACAGTTGATAGTTTAATGTGAATTCCTCTGCCACAGCTCTTTTTTTTTTCTACTGTTCGTACCTTTGTTACTCACTTCAGCAACTGTTTCCCATGAAGCTCAAGTTAGTAGTTAGTAGTCCACAAGACAGCTACTTGTGTCATGCCATGATGGAACTGTTTCTTGTTTTTAAAAGATAAATAATTTTGATCTACTGTGTGAACTTTGCTAATGTCGAACTTGCCAACATTTTTATGCTCAACGAAGGTCGACAGACCAAAGCATCTGATAGAGGAGGAAAGAGGCAAAAGTTGGCGGATTGCAACGAGGTTTGAATGACTTTTGTTCACCATCGTTACTTTTTCGATATGGGTTATATTTTGAAACAATGGAAAGCAAACCGTAAACCATGAATGAAATTTAACCATGAAGCCCGGTTAATTTATCAAGACTTATATCGTGATCGATTATAACTATATTTTTTCTCTCTTGCTCTTTATTACAGATCATGTCAGATCTGACCAACAAACTACCAGCGTACCAGTTCCTCACAGCGTTCTCTCTGCTTATTTCTCGCATTTGCCATGCGAACCAAACGGTCTTTCATCAGCTCGAGGTAAGTGAGAAAACTGGCTCAATATTGCCCTTCTCTATTCAGTAGTACATCTTCCGTACTGTTTTCTATCCATTTACTAAGGTGCTGACAAGGAGAATTTGTTAAACAGTCAAGGGCTTCCTTGGCTGGTGATCATTTTCTTTATTCTTGTGACGCTAATGTGTGATTCAGGGGTGATATAGTAAGGAGAAATTAGACGCTAGTCACCCTCAGGGGTTGAATGGTTAATTCACCATATCGTATAAAACGTGATGCAGCCATGCATATGCTTGAGCAGGGTGGGTTTTACTAATGTGCCATTTTGTGTTGAGTGGTATAACATCTCGTTACCCTATTTCATGTCCTGTGATTTTTAGACGCAGTATTTTCAATCATTAGCGCTATTAATTTTTTGGCTTTGTTCTTCTGTGGAAACATTTTTTGCTGTGTTGTCCTCATTCTTTCTTTTTATTGTTTAGGAGATCATCGCCAAACTGTTAGTGACGTACCCACAACAAGCGATGTGGATGATGATGGCTGTTTCAAAGGTTAGTCATTACAGGGAGAAGTTCAAGAAATTTAATGACCCTTGCATTTGGAAAAAACTGTGTTTGGAGATCATAATTTGAACTATCGATAGAAATGCTGTATCTTGAAGACAACGTATTCGCCTAATCGTCTGCTTGGGGGTCTGCCAGGGGTCTGGTACCAACTATCAATTGTAGACCCGGTCCAGACCTCTTGTTGGCTCACGTTGCTCACGGCCTCATACTAGGGACCTTAAGCAGTCCGGACGGCAACGCCAAGGAAAACTTTTGATTAAAAAATGAATTTCCGCCTTAAATTAGAATTTAAAAAATGGCTGCATTTGTTTACCGTCTCATACAGCGCCACACCTCAACTTCAGCATACAAAGAAGCGTTGAGTTCCAAATGGAAATTAAAATAATTTGTCGTCGCGGTCTCGGTTCGTAGACGACGCAAATTGTGGTGATTTCACGTTGTTGCTTTGCATAGGACGGCTGAGAAATGTACAAAGTTTTAAAACGCACGTGCTAAGCTATTGTTCTGCTAATTAGATCTTTTGTTTTTCCACGTCCGCGTTGCAGTCGCCGTCGTGGTTTGCTTAAGGTCCCTACTAACCCGCGACGTAGAAACACGGTTGCGTTAATTATTAGGAAGAAACACCTAATTATGACGAAGAAACACCGAAGCGCTAATTATGAGGACCTACTCATAAATTATCGGCAAATGGAGAAGATGTTATCATAAGAGGCAACCGAGGAGTTGTTTTGAACAGTTTGTCACTCGATTAAATAAGTCTTGGCGAAAACTGATTGTCAAGTTTCGGTGCATTAACAAAGTTGAGTTGCCCTCTTTTTTTCTTGATTATGGCTTCATTTCAGGTTATCGAGACGTCCGTAAAGCCAAACAGTGCAGATTAAAAATTATTGATTTGCTTTTTCCACAGTCTTCTTTCGCCATGAGAACAAAGCGTTGCTATCAAATCTTTCATAAGGCAAGGTGAGCTGAGTTTCACTGTTTCTCACTTACTGGAACCACGTTTTATTTTTGTTTAGTTGAATTAAAATATTGTGCGCATTTTTTGTTCAGAAAAGTGAGGTTATGTTTTGAAATTTTTCCACGCTTTCTGATTAGGTAATGAAAATTCATAATCGTCTCATCCAGTGAGTGTTACCTTAATATTGCAATAAATTATGTTACCAATCGATAAGTAAATGTGTAACAGTTAGGCAAGAAAATTTTTCATCAGATCTGGGAAAGTAAAGGTATAATGCATAGGTTTATACTTTGTCATCAGTAGTGTATGTTTAACGAGCAGTTGCTCCTTTTTCATTGTTTTGTTTTTTTTTTTAGTTCGCGCGACACTACGTTGAAAAAGTTCCTTGAGGTGAGTTTTTGACGTAGTGCTCAACCATTTTTGTTGTTCTGCTTGCTTTGACAATGGGTCGGAAATTCCAATGCAATTAAGTTTTTACCTTTTTGGTGTTGGTGTAAAGGCCAGCACACTTGCCAACTTTCTGAAGCTTACTGGTAGCTTACATAGTGGTAAAGGTCTGGGTCCGAGTTTCCATCGTTTAGAGAGAGTCTCAAGAGGGATTTAGACCATGGATTTTCCTAAATTAAACTCGACAATTTGCCTCAACATTTCTTACTCTTTCCCTTAAAGGTACAATTTTTGTATCTGAAGGGCCAACGAGTGAAAGTTAAGTTTGTCATTACCTCTAATAAAACGAAGAAGATTATCGAAGTCACCTTAAGAGAGACACGTTTCGATTGTACCATTCAGTCGTAGTGATTTTCGTTGGTGAGATGATTGTAAAACACCAAAACGGGAGGTAAGGTTGGAGAAGATAAGCAAAAACTGCAAACTACCTAATGAAAAATTTACTTTAAAGGTGGTTCAACTGATATGTATTGGTTTGTCTATGTCAATAAATGTACACGACTGCCTGGTGAAGTTAGTGTACCTGTGGTAACATGCTTTTCTTTTCCACTTCGCAGCACTCCACAAGACTAGCTGATAGACTGCTTGAAGTTTGCAACAAGGAAGTATCTACCAAAGGTCCTTCCAAAGACAAGTTGAGCATGAGTCATGACTTCTCTGTTCTCAAGAGGCTTGTTTCTGATGGGTGAGACGTTGAACTCTGCTTCCTCGTGATCAAACACTTGCTGGCACGACCTGATCGCGTAACTTTGTTTACCATTTGCCATTTAGTTATAATAACAAAAGCTTTGACTGGCCCATCTAGTGGATAAGATTGTCTGATGTGTCAATTTACCTGGCAAAGAATTAAGTTTTTTATCCTTGCGAGCCTTTGAGAAAAAAAGCTTAAATACTCCTAAAAATGGCAATGCTTGTTCGGTGAAGCTTATAGAGTTTAAATTGAGAGGGTACTAACGTTGCCAGTAATAATTTATTATTATTTTGATTTCGTCTTTGTTGTGTTTCGTTTTCAGAGATTTTAGTCCAATTATAGTTCCTCTCCAGTCTGCTATGACTGTGACCTTGCCTTCAGGAGCCGGAAGCCATCACGATCACAATCCGTTCCCAGGCTCGCTAGCTTGTATCATCGGCTTTGAGGACACGGTTAGTATGTGTGTGTTGTGTTCCTAGCCAAGATACGTTGCAAGCCATTTTAATTTTGGATTAACGAAGACGATCATAACATTTCAGTGATAAGCATTTTGGAATGTCGTGTCTTTGTTTTTGTTTGTTTTGTTGTTTGTCGTTTTTTTTTCCTTTGCTTTTGCTTTTACTTTTGCTCTTTCGTACTTGTATTTTTTTTTTTACATTTTTTGTATCTTTTATAATAGGTTGATGTTCTAGCGTCTCTACAGAAACCGAAGAAAATCACCATTAAAGGCAGTGACGGAAACTCGTACACCATGATGTGTAAACCCAAGGTTTGTTCTTTGTCCTTTTCACAAATTCAAAAAGAAATGTGCCTCTTTAAAGCACAGGTATGAATATTACCGTCCCTTTGGATGATATCGAGGCAGTTTTATCAAATTTCTCAAGTAAAGATCCGCCGTTGCATTTTACAGGGAATGAGAGGGGAGAGGCACTATGTGATTGATATTGAGGTTTTTAACCTCAGAGAATAAATTCATCATGATAAAACACAAAAAAGACAAATGTGCTGTGCTAATTTTTTTTTTATTTTATAATCAATCTTTTAGCTTAATCTCACGTAAGAAAATTGCACAGTGACAAAACATTTAACATAGCTCAAACGTCTGTATTAAACAAACTCTAAATTCCACCATCCTCTCTTATTTGCTCTGTATTCTATTACAGGATGATCTTCGAAAGGATTGTAGAACAATGGAATTTAACGCCCTCATCAACAAGGTTTGATCTTTGGTATAACAATTGTCGATCTTTGTATGACAAATTCAGTACAGTCGGTTAGTCAGTCATTCAGTCAATCAGTCCTGCAGGCATTCATTCGTTTCATCGGGTAGCCGTTCATTCATCGAAAAGATTGTAGCTTTCTAGTTATGCATCAAGGATTATTTGCAATTGATTCTGTTTTGTTAGTATTCCTCAATCTCGGTGTGATAAAAAAATATTTTTATAATATTTCTTTTCTCATTTTAGTGTTTAAGAAAAGATCCTGAATCTCGACGAAGGCAGCTGCACATTCGTACTTATGTAAGTCGTGCTGTTTTAGGTAAATTGAAGGTGTTTTAGAGAGGAGCAATCAAAAGAAAAATCAGTGTGTTTTCCTCGAAGTGCAAATTCGGTTGCTTTCTTTTTTTATGAAAGTTGTTATGGTAATATTACTGAGTTGCGTCTAATTCGGTCTGAAATTATCCGAGTGGCTAACAAAATCGGAAGACCAAGAAGTGAACGACACTCAGTCCTGTTACCAATTTATCAAAACTATGACAACATCTAAGAAACAAACCAGCCATCGGTTATGCGTTTTCGTAAGAAAAAAAATGAAACACCTGCATCTCAGCGAGATGCGTGATAACAGTGCGGTTACATGCCTCCTATTGAGAAATTACACAAGCATGACGCACACCAATCACGTTCGATAATTTTGCTATAGTCTTGATTTCTTTAGTTAGGAGAATGACTGTCAGCTTCTTGTTGTTATGGTCATTGATGTTGTGTATGTTATTTCAAGCATTTTTTCCCTCTCTTTTATGGCATGCCACAGCGGAACATTCTCCATATTTTTCCCAATTCAATTATGAGTTCCTTTTTTTCGCAAGGCGGTGATTCCTTTAAATGAAGAATGCGGACTGCTAGAATGGGTACAAAATACTCATGGCTTAAGAAACATACTCACGAAAATTTACAAGTAAGGACGTCGTTTCTCCATTTTGTCGTTTTATTTCTTTAACCCACGAGTGACCGAGGCAGAATTTTTCCTTACATCATCAATACAATAATATTGTAAATTTGATAAATATTAAAAATATTGTGACTGCTGTAATATGATCAAGTATGCAAGTGATAAGAATACAGAAAATATCAGTCAAGGGATTATTAGTTGATCCAATACCAAATTCTCTGAACTAACACCACAAGAACTGTATAGCAGACAGTAAGGAGAATTACTAATGAGATCTTTGGAGTGAAAGGGTTAAGCGTGTCTTAGTGGTTTGATCCAATACTTACGAGTAGACAGAAGTGCACAGAGGTTCATGATCAAATAAATCAGGTAAAAAAAAAATTGGTCAGGGAAACTAAACCACATCTTTGACTACTTTCTATTTTTACAGAGAGAAAAATATGTATACTCGAGGAGCGGAGCTCAAAAAATTAATGGACAGAGCAGGAAACAAACCTGAGTGCGTCTTTTGTTGGTGTTCATTTTTCTGCGTGACTGTTTTCTTGTTGTGTTCTCTCTTTGGTTTTCTTTTTCTTCATTGGTGTTGAGAAAAAATTCTGTACTTGAAAAAAATCCAAAGTAAAAGCAAGACAAAAAAATAGACAAAGACAGAAACAAACAGTATATAAAATTATTGTAATCATTTCTTCAGACCAATTGTTTCATAATGTTTTCATCTGAGGAACATCAGACTAGTTCAACCTTAGGGGAAATGATATCTAGAGGAGAGTTGAATTGAGTACGAGTTGATAGGAACTCAAAGTACATACTTGTCGACAACCTGAGGCACAGATAACGCAAGTGATCAAATTAATATTGCTTAAGTTTTGAATCTGATCGATCGAGATGGTGGCCTTGGTTTTCTAAACCAATCACAGAGGAAGGAAAGCAAGATCAGTGTAGCCATAGGTTACAACACTCAACTGAAAACTAATTCGTTATATGCTTGCTAACTTTAGGGACAAGAAACGTGTCTTCTTGAATGAAATCCTTCCCAGGTGTGTATCTATGTGAACTTTCTCTTGTGGTTTGTGTAATTTTTGCAATTTTACAGTACATGAAGTGAAATGATGACATTGCCATTCCACTTTTGTTCACAAATAGGCACCCTTCCGTTTTTCATGAGTGGTTTCTGAAGACGTTTCCTAATCCAACCTCGTGGTGCGTATTTTTTTAAAGTTCTTTATGGCATCATTCGATCCAGAGGTTCTGTTCTTAAAATGTTATAAAATGCAATTAATGTCCATTTCTCTCTACTCTTTATTAGGTACATGAGCCGCCTGGCATACTGCCGAACGTCAGCGGTTATGTGTATGGTGGGTCATATCCTTGGTCTTGGTGATCGCCATGGTGAGAATATTCTGTTTGACGCTACCAGTGGGGCCTGCGTCCATGTCGACTTTAACTGTCTGTTTAAAAAGGTCGGTTAATTTTATTCCATATGCGAGTTCTGTTACGTTATGACTTCCTGGTTGTGCTAATGACAATATTGAATCTGATTGATCCCTCGTTTACTACTCGGCATGGCTTCTACTGAACTAAAATTGTCCGATTCAACCCTTCCGATGATCAGAGGCTAATTTTGATTGGACAGGTCAAACCAGGTAGTTTTAAAACTGGCCCATGAGAGTTAATTGCCTTGCACATGCTTGTCTCTACTCTGAGCGCTTTGTTTAACTCAGATGTTTAACCAACTGTTTAACACTTTTATCTTAGAATAACATTCATAATTTATTGCACTTTTCATTCAGCTTATAAGCTGGTAATAGGATTTTGTCCCTTGCCTTTTAGGGATAATCCTGCGGTAATTTTAAATGAGCCGTCCGATTTACATTACTAATATGAATTTGTCATGTGGGTCAGACTTAAAATGGTCACCCGAACAACTGTTCGTAGTTGTACATAAATATGGAGCTCACAAATTTTGCTCTCTAGCTTGGTTACAAAAATATTTTGATTGCATCGTTGACTGTGTTGTAGGCGTAATCCTTGTATATGTTGTAGTTCAATTTTATCCTTGATTCTTGTTATATTTTCCTTTGTTTCAAACTTACTATCATACTTTGCAATACCCAAAAACAAAAGAAATAAAATTTGAACCAAGGATAAAATTTAACCACAACATTTGCAAATTACTCTCAAACAGAAAGAGAGGAATATTAAGGAAAATGTGGAAAATTTCTCTGTGACTTAGGTTTACTTCGTTTGATAGGGAAGGTTCATCGCGGCAGTAACACTGATCTTGTTGTGCGCCGTTTTTTTCCTTTTTCGCAGGGAGAAACCTTCGATTGTCCGGAACGCGTGCCATTTCGATTGACACATAACATAGTAAATGCTATGGTAAGCGATTCCAGAAAAAATGATATCTTAAAAAAAGATACGAACAAGCGAACGAAATATGGCAAGTGAGGTCTCGGTTTTCTGATTTTGAAGACAGCCGTAGTGCTTTTAACTGAGATTTATTTTTCATCATCATATTTTTTTCCTTTGGTAGGGTCCTCTTGGATACGAGGGAGTTTTTCGTCGCTCTTGCGAAGTTACCTTGCGTCTTTTGAGAAATCAGTGCGATTCTTTGCTCACGTGAGTTCGAAAATTTTTTGTAACACTACTCAGGCTTTTCGACCGAGTGTTTTTTGAAGTAAGTCCTGAGTAATCACATTGGCCAATCAGGCGTGTCGCGAATAAACAAAGATGGGTTCAATTAGAAACCAGAGTACACACAAGTATTGAAATTGCTTAAAGCTCGGGAGTGACTGAGTCGTGTTTGGGTTTCGTTTTGAATCTGAATATTTTAGAAAGTGGCGCGAGTTTTCTGGACCAATCACAAAGCATAGTAAAGCAGGATTACTTTTGACCCTCAAATGCAAATTTCTCTTAAATGCGCCAATGAAGTGACGCTCTAACCTTTGCTTCCTTTCATAGTGTCCTCAGAACCTTTATATATGATCCGCTTGTGGAGTGGCAAAGGACTAAGGGAAGGGAATTACTTTCCGAGGCTTCAAAGAATAAAGAAACAGGGGAAGTTACAAATGAAGAGGCGAGTATCTTAATTCACAATCTTCGTGTAAAGAATGTACAATTTTATGATATCTGTAAGAAGATAGACAGCTTCATTTAGTAAATACTTGTACAAGAGATAGTCATATGTTATTCAAGGTAGTCAAATTATGGAGCCAACAAGCATCCCTTATACCAATAGGAGCCTATTCCATTTTCCATTTAAAGTAGTCCATCCAAATATTTCCGTTGAAACCTCGAGAGTTAACATATAATTCTTAAGAGTGCTGTAAGACTGATTTTCGCAAAAGCAAATGCAATGTAATTTTTAGCGGCCGAGCAGGAGAAAGAAGAATGTCAGACGGAGCCAATTGTCTCTTCTCCATTTTCAGGGTCTTAAGATTCTGAAAGATGTGGAAAGGCGGATCAAAGGCTTTGAAGGAACCAGCAAGATCATGATTCCTCTCTCGATAGAAGGACAGGTGCATTACCTGATCGAGGTGAGGTCGCTTGATTGTGTGTTGATTTTGGTTTGTTGTTTCATTCCCATTTTGTTGTTGTTGTTTTTTTTTCCACGAATAAAAGCTGCTTTTTCCTCAAGTAGTTGAGCAAAGTGTGGGAGAAAAACTGCGTGTGAATCATTTAAGCGAAAATTCTAAAATTAATTGTGTTATAGTTAGGAAACTGGAACCTTCTAGAGAGGTCTGGTTTCCAGACCTTATGTCATGTCCCTTGGGTGGACCCTTTAACCTAAATAACCCTTCCACCTACTTTTCTGACGTTATCAAGATGATGGATGTTTTTTCCATTTTGCAGGAGGCCACAAGCGATGACAACTTATGCCGGATGTACATTGGATGGGCTCCTTTTCTCTAACGAAAAAGGGAAGATATGTAAACAAGAGATCTTTGTAAACCATGGTAAAGAAGAAGGTTTTTTTTTTC